CAGGACGAGGAGCAGGAGCAGAAGTAGGAACAGGAGCAGGAGGAGGAGGAAGAGGAGAGGGAGGAGGAGGGGGAGGGGGAGGGGGGCGAGCTAGGTGCGCTCGCGTCATATCTGACGTCCTACCCCTCCCTTCCATTTCTTACCATGGCGAAGATCTGCTCTCTATTAGGTCGGATGGCGTGGCAGGGTATATCATTCCATGGCATATCACGGTGTCGACTATCAACGCGTAGCCTGACATAGCATGGCGTGGCGACGCCCCAAAGCGGGGGGGAGGCTTCTGCGGCCCAAGAAAACCAACGACTCGACGCCGGAGGTGTAGTCACTTCCGATGGTTGTTTCCGGGGGTCATTTTCCAGATTTTGGGGCCTATTTAGAAGGACCGAACACCATGCCGTGGCATGGCGCTGGAAATAATGACGCCAGCGCTGCAGCGGAAACACGATTCGGAACGCGCGGAAGCGCTGAAACAAGGCCAGCGCTGCAGCGGGAGCACGATTCTGAGGACGCGTAGCCTGACATAGCATGGCCTGGCGACGCCCCAAAGTGGGGGGGCTTCTGCGACCCCAGAAATCAACGAGTCGACACCGAAAGTGTAATCACTTCCGATGGGGCATTTTCCAGATTTTGGGCCCTATTTGGAAGGACCGAACACCATGCCGTGGCATGGCGCTGGAAATAATGACGCCAGCGCTGCAGCGGAAACACGATTCGGAACGAGCGGAAGCGCGGAAATGAGGCCAGCGCTGCAGCGGGAACATGATTCGGAACGAGCGGTAGCCCGAAAGTGAGGCCAGCGCTTCAGCGAGAGCAGCATTTTGAAATTAGCCTGACGAAAGGCCCAACCGTATGCAGCGGCGAGAACCACGATTGAGATGAGACGAAGGAGGAGGGCACGCAAACCCCGAATAGCGCATGCGGTATACCCTCTGCTCTCATAGGCAGCGCGTTGTAGGAAGAACGAGGCGCGGGGCAGTGCGAGCAGGGGGGGACGAATGGTTGGGACGTATGCGAATTTTCGGTGGAGCTCCCCATGGGGCCAAGAAGCGCAGTACTGAGTGTGGCGGTGGAGCTCCCTATGGGGCTACGAAGCGCTGTACTGGGTGTGGCGGACGCATGCGGGCCCCCCCACTGGGGCCTTCGGTGGAGCTCCCTATGGGGCCACTAAACGTTGTACTGGGTGTGGCGGACGCATGCGGACACCCCCACTGGGGCCTTCGGTGGAGGTCCTTATGGGGTCACGAAACGCTGTACTGGGTGTGGCGGACGCATGTGGGCATCCCCACTGGGGCCTTCGGTGGAGGTCCTTGTGGGGCCACGAAACGCTGTACTGGGTGTGGCGGACGCATGCGGGCCTTCCCAGTGGGGCCTTCGGTGGAGGTCCTTATGGGGCCACGAAGCGCTGTACTGGCGGACGCCTGCGGGCACCCCCCACTGGGGCCTTCGGTGGAGCTCTCCATAGGGCCACGCAACGTGTGAGGGGTGTGCCAAAGTGAGGGAGGTGTCGGGAGGAGGGAGGAGGGGGGAGGAGGACGGAAAAGTAATGCGGGGAACGTCTATTCAAAACGAGGACCTAACACCACAGGATGGTTGGGACAACCCCAAGCAACAATCTTTTCCTGGGAGTATTTCCTGGACGTCACCAGGAGAGAGAGAGAGAGAGAGAGAGGAGAGTAGTATTCATATTGTGTACCTGTGGAGGAGGAGGAGGAGGAGGAGGAGGAGGAGGAGGAGGAGGAGGAGGAGGAGGAGGAGGAGGAGGGGGAGGAGGAGGGAGGGGGAGGAGGAGGAGGAGGAGGAGGAGGAGGAGGAGGAGGAGGAGGGACATGCTACGCCAGGCTTTCCCACAGCGGGGCCACCGCCAGAACAGTGGGGGCATTCCAGGGCACCGACGTTCCTGGGCCGCCGCGCGGCCCGCGCGCTGGGCCACGGCTTGGCGGGTTTCAGTTCCCCTGGGGCTCCGATGCGCTGCCCGCGCGCCGAGGCGCCCCCCTTCAGGGGGCTTTTCATCCTCGTCCTCCTCCCGCATTCCCTCCCCCTCCTCCTCTTCCCCCGCCGCGGCGACGCCGCTCCGTTCCTCCAGGGGCCGCGCCCGTGCGCGTGTGCAGGCGTCCGTCCCTCCGTCCTCGTCCTCCGCCTTCTCCCTCTCCCCCCCCTCCTTTGTCTCCTGTCCTCTCCGCTCCTCGCTCCTTCCTCCTCGCTGCTCTTCCCTCCTCCCTCGCCCCCTCTCCGTCGGCGCCGCCAGGCGAGGGGGGCGGGCGACAAGCCGCGGCAGGAGGGTCCCCTCTGCTCGTGTGGTGCGCCGCCCGTCGGCCCTTGAGCCGTCTCCCGCCGCTGCCACCCTCGTCGTCGTGGTGGTCGTTGTCGTGGTCGTCGTTGTCGTCTCTGTTGTGGACTAATCATTTTTATTGGCGCGAAAAGAGGCAACTGGTTACGCAATGAGAGTCCCAGAGAAGAGCAAGGGGTAGGAAGGAGCAGGAGGAAGGAGTAACCCTTGGCGGAGGATAGGATGAGGTACTGTGATAATAAAATAAGTATTGTTGATCTCCGGAAACGGTTCCGCGCGCTCTCGCCCCGACGCCAGCTACACTTTCTCTGAGAACGAGGCTCCCGCTCGAGCGTTGGCCTGACCACAAATGTGGGCCCCTAGAGGCCCAGCTACGACAACATCGGCTCCCGCTCGATATTTCCTGACAATATACCCCGAGACACCCTGGCCAGAGAGGCCCCCGAACTCAAGAACGGCGCTTTCGCTCGAGACTTCCTCACAATCGAATTAAGTTGGCCGAGGCCCAGCCACGACGAACAGGGTTCCTGCTCGATAGTTCCTCACGATTTACTCCGAGAGCCCCTGGCCAAAAAGGCCCCCGAACTCAGGAACGGCGCTCTCGCTCGAGACGTTCCCGTAATTCAGTCAAGTTGGTGGAGGCCCGGACTCGGCGACGAGGGCTCCCGTTCGATGTTTGTCCATAGGTATTCCGAGAGCCCCTGGCCAGAGAGGCCGCCGAACTCAGGAACTGCGCTCTCGCTTGAGATTTTTTTCATTCTTCAGTCAGTGGCCGACACGGAAGAGATTCCCCCGGAAAGGGGGTGCAATCGAAGACGAAGTGGGCGGGTATCGAGGGTTGGGGTATACAGAATGCAAGACATGAGCGCCGGTAAGAGCGAACAGTCTTAAAATGATTGTTGTTGTTGTTGTTGTTGTTGTTGTTGTTGTTGTTGTTGCTGTCGTTATTGTCGTTGTTGTCGTTATTGTCGTTGTTGTCGTCGTCGTTGTCGTCGTCGTCGCCCTCGTTCTCCTCGACCCCCCGCTCTCGTCTTCCCCGTCCCCGTCGTCGACTTTCGCCTCCTCCTCCCCCTCCTCCGCCTTATCCTCCAGCTGCTGCTCCCGCTGCCGCTGCTCCTCATGCCTCCTCCTCTTACCTCCTCCTCGTCCTCGTCTTTCTCCTCCTCCTCGTCCTTGTGTCTCCTCCTCTTGCAACCTCCTGCTTCCTCCTCCTCCTCCTCCTCCTCTTTCCCCTCCTCCTTCTCCTCCTCCATTCCTTTTCCTAGTAAGCAATTCCTCCCTGTCGCGCCCCGAGGCTTGTCGAAAGGGCGGGCCAGGCGTTTCGTCTCATATTCCCTCATTTATACGGCTTTTAAATTTCAAGTTGGCAACGGTTTCGCAGATGGAGGGCGGCGGTGTCCAGAATGTGGCTCTCGCCCCAGCGCCGAGCACATTCGATATTACGATGTGCAAGAGTTCCTTGAGTTAAGGGTGAGCCGTTTCCAAATCAGGGCTCTGGCCCTAGCGCCCCGCACATTCGTTTCAAACAGTTGCAGGAGCTTCACGGATGGAGGGCGGGTGGTTTTCAACATGTGGCTTTCGCCGTAGCGCCGCGCACATTCGTCTCAAACATTTGCAAGGGTTTTACGGATGGTGGGAGGATGGTTTTCAATTTGTGGCTCTCGTCTCGACGCCGAGCTTTTTACATACTTGCAAGAGCTTCAAGGTTTGAGGGCGGGCCGTTTCCAAAATGTGGCTCTCGCCTCATCGCCGCGCACATCCGTTTTCAAACTTGCAAGAGCTTTGCGGATGGAGGGCGGTTTGTTTTCAAAATGTGGCTCTCGCTTCAGCGCTGTGCACATTTGTTTTTAAGCATTTGCAAGGGTTTCATGGCCTCCCATGGTCAACGTACCAGACATGGTGCTCTGGAGCGATTCAGAATGGTCAGGGCGCAACCGTTACGCTCATTCGCTGTTTTTAATTCCCAGGAATGGTGTTCTGGCGCGATTCACGATCGTCAATACGCAGCAGTCAGTTTGATTCGTGGCGTTGAGTCCCGAGAATGGTGTACTGGCACGTCTCAGGGTCTTCAAACAGTTGTCTCCCAACTGGGCACTTCCTTCACGGGAAATGAACCTTTGTAGTGACCAATGAAGGGGAAGCTTGGAAGGAGGGTCTATTCCAAGATCGTTGATGTGTCTCCGCCCCCCCGGGAACCCTTCCCCCTGTCCACAGGGGGACCCCTCCCCCTATATCCCACCACTACTACTACTACTACTACTACTACTACTACTACTACTACTACTACTGCTACTACTACTACTACTACTACTACTACTGCTACTGCTACTGCTACTGCTACTGCTACTACTACTACTACTACTACTACTACTAGCTGCTGCTGCTGCGCTGCTGCTATACCTACTACTACTACTGCTACCACTGCTACTGCTACTACTACTACTGCTACTACTACACTGCTACTACTACTATTATTACTACTACTACTGTTACGACTACTACTACTACTACTTACTTACTACTATACTACTACTACTACTACTACTACTACTACTACTACCACTACCACTACCACTACTACCACTACTACTACTACTACTACTACTACTACTACTACTGCTGCTGCTGCTGCTGCTGCTACTACTACTACTACTTCTGCTGTTACTACTACTACTATTACTGCTACTACTACTGCGACTATTTTTGCCCCTTGTCCAAGGGGGGAGCCCGGGGGGGGGGGAAGGCGGTGTTCTGACCCGAGGCACTCTCTCGTACACCCCCTGTGCTCCCTCCCGTATGCCCCCCCTGTCAGGGAAGGGGAGAAGGGAAGGGAATCGACTTAATAATTACGTTTCTTTTCTCAGTTCGTTCCCAATTTTCCTTGGGACTGGCGACGACGACGACGACGACGACGACGACGACGACGACGACCCACACGCCCCGAAGATCGGCGAATTTTGGTTACCAGCGAATTCCAGCGAATTCCTCACGTTCCTCCCTTCTCCCTCCTTCTGCTCCTCCTCCTCCTCCTTCTCCTTCTTATCCTTCTTCTCTTCCCTCCTCCTCCTCCTCCTCTTCCTCCTTTTGACGTTGAGAGGACATCAGGTGGGGCCTGTTGCGTTCATGCTGAAAATACAGTCGACTTAGGCGAGGTAAAAGCCACAGTAAGCTGAGTAGTTTCATGCGCAGTGTGTAAACAGAAAAAGGCGACAGAGAGAAACATCAGAGGCCCGCAGGGGCACAGAGCATGCGCTCGCCACCTCAGCACGATTGGCCAGGAGGTCGACGAAGAAATTGAGCTATGCACATAACCGTAATGCAGGAAGGAGGGAACACACCAGGGATGGACCCAAACTTTTTTTGCTGGACTTCGGCTTTTTTTTTCGTTTTGGGAGGGAGGTGCAGGAAAACAGGTAGAGCAAAGCGAAACACAAAAAGAAAGCAACACGAAAAGCAACGTTTCGGTCAAGCCCGGGAACGCGCCGTACAGTGTGAACGAAATCCGCGTGCCAGTAAGCAAGCGGGGAAGGCAGTGCAAAGGCTGGCCTGCACAGGTCGCCGAAGAGCTCAGGCAGGCGCAGTATGCTCTTCCCCCCCCCCCCCCGCCCCGCACCATGACCCACCCCTCCCAACGACAGAGGTACCACACCCGGCGTGCGTGCCGGAGGCTGGCCCAGCCTGTGCTGGCCGGCCCGTATCCGCCGGCGCTCATCCCTCTGAAATTGCCGATGGCCTGATGCCACCAAAATGCGAGTGCGGTGGCGGGGTATACTCCTCCTCCTCCTCCTCCTCCTCCTTTCGAGCCTTTCGAGCGCGGCCCAATGTCGCTCTCGCGACGCGGCCGAACGCCTCCGCGGCTGGTGCCGCGGAGGCGGCGGTCTTTGTCGCACAGGGAGCACAGCGCGGCAGCTGCGCCCTCACACAGAGGGCTCCGAGAGCCTCTGGAGGTCTAACGGCCGCCAGCAGCCGTGGTGGGCACGAGGCCCCAGGACCAAAAGGGGGCCAGAGAAAAAGACGGGGCCGACCCCCGAGGAAAGAGAGCTTGGCCAGAGGAGAAGAGGGGGGGTCACCGCGGTGACAGGGGGCCTGGGCCTGGGTACGCGCACCCCAACCCTGCGAGGCGGGGGAGGGGAAGAAGCCAGGAGACCAGGCGGGGGACGAGGGAGGAAGCCTCCTGGGCGATCAGAGCAGAGGAAGAGACTCCTGGGTCCTGGCTGGCGCGGCCCGCGCCTAAGGGGCTGCCTCACACGAAGGGGTAGTCGACTTCCCCCTCCGCCCGGAGGGGGGGTCCCCGATGGTGGTGTAGCTGTCCACGATGGTGGTGTAGCTGTCCCCGATGGTGGTGTAGTTGTCCACGATGGTGGTGTAGCTGTCCCTGATGGTGTAGCTGTCCACGATAGCGACGGACGCTGGTGTAGCTGTCCCCGCTGGTGGTGTAGCTGTCCACGCTGGCGTAGCTGTCCACGCTGTTGTCCCCGATGGTGTTGTAGCTGTCCGCGATGGTGAGGCTGTGATGTACGGATCTGTGTGCATTACTTCGTGAGTTGTGAGAGGGTCTGGAGTGGTAGTTGCTGGTGTCATGCCCCACCGAGCCATCATTAGTCTGTCCAAGTATTGTGAGATGAAGGGCATCATATCGGTGCGTTCGCCGTCATCGTCCAAGCCATGGTTCGTCGCCATACCTTTATTCGAGTACCCTTGGGGCTTGTAGTAGTGGTGCTGCTGGCTGTCGGGTGCCGTGAAATGTGCTGCAGCTGGGGTGTCTTTCACGCCGTAATGTTGTGCGGGTTTGTTGGCTCTTCCTTTGGATGGGCGACGAGCATAGGGATCTGGAACTTCTGCGAGACGCTGGAGATCTCGATGATGTCCCTGAGGTCGTCGTTCATAGCCGAGATAATGTCGTAGTCTCTCTGGCCCATGCTTGGTAAGCCCCACGGGTAGAGTGGGCTTCTGCTGGATGCTGTCCTCCGCCCTTCGTGGTCATTGTCTTCGACGAATCATGTAGTTGTC